AAATGCAGAGCCAGCTCCTTCCCTAGGCAGCTTTCCGGAATGACTTTGCTCACCTCCTGGACCTAATCGGCACGGGCAAGGAGTCCCTCAGCTTCATGAAGAAGAGGATCCGGCACTTGGCCCAGCAGTGGCTGCGGGCAGCTCGGCGCCTCAAGCAGAAGCTGAAGGGCCGGCAAAGGGACCAGAAACACGTACGAGCAAATTGCATGGGGGTGATCGCAGTGGGGAGATGGAAAAGCTGAGCCCTTGGGGACACGGGTAGCGGAGACAGCTGGGATGTGAGTGGGCTGGGAGGAAAATTTATTTCTGGAAGCACATGGGTCTGCAGGGTTGGGTCTGTGGTCTGTGGGCACACTCTGCATGCATTCAGGACATTGCAGGACCGGCGTTGCTGAACCATGGGGTGAATTTTGGAGACGGGTCCTGGTGGGCAGGAGACGATGTCCAGCCAGCAGACCATTGCCTGCAGCGGGCAGGGACCTTGGCACGTCTGCTCCACGGAGATGCCAAGGTTGCTGGCCCTCCTGTTCATGTTTTTGCAGTTCCCTGCCCTTTGGTCCCTGTGTGCCGGGAGATCTGGCTCTGGTCCGTTGATGGACCATGATGTACATCAGGAACATGGGCCTGGTCCCAAGATACAGAGCACCGGTCGATGGGAGCTGGTCGCCTCTGACTATTGGGTCTTTGCTAATTGGACATAGATCACTTGTCTTTACATCCAAATGATTTCCCTGAGTAGTTACAGCCTGCAAAAGGAGCTGGAGGGAATCGGGGACCATAAGTCATTTTGGCCTGGAAAACCCAACTTGTCCCTTTCCACCAGCACCACCCCTCCCAACACTGACCCCTCTCCTTGTCTCTCCAGATCTTGATCCATATTGGCTTCCTGACGGAGGAGTCGGGGGATGTTTTCAGTCCACGGGTGCTGAAGGGGGGCCCACTGGGTGAGATGGTGCAGTGGGCTGACATCCTGGCTGCCCTCTTCCTCCTGGGACACAGCCTGAGGGTCACAGTCTCCCTGAAGGACCTGCAGAGGTGGGTGCTGCGGTGCTGCGGGTGCATGGTCCTTGCTAATTGGACATAGATCACTTGTCTTTACATCCAAATGATTTCCCTGAGTAGTTACAGCCTGCAAAAGGAGCTGGAGGGAATCGGGGACCATAAGTCATTTTGGCCTGGAAAACCCAACTTGTCCCTTTCCACCAGCACCACCCCTCCCAACACTGACCCCTCTCCTTGTCTCTCCAGATCTTGATCCATATTGGCTTCCTGACGGAGGAGTCGGGGGATGTTTTCAGTCCACGGGTGCTGAAGGGGGGCCCACTGGGTGAGATGGTGCAGTGGGCTGACATCCTGGCTGCCCTCTTCCTCCTGGGACACAGCCTGAGGGTCACAGTCTCCCTGAAGGACCTGCAGAGGTGGGTGCTGCGGTGCTGCGGGTGCATGGTCCTCCCCCAAGAGGATCTGCTCCCCGCACACGTGTGGGTTTTGCATCACGGTTTTGTGTGAAAGCTCGAGGTCTGCAAAGGCTCGGGGGTGGCTTATCCCCACCTGCGTCTCGGGCAGTGCTGGCGCAGGTGTTGAGTGGGTGCAAACCACCAGCTTTGCGGCTGGGATCAATCCCATCCCTTCTGCATCCCAGGAAAGCGAGGAGGACTGGTACAAACCAAGGCTTTGCAGCAGGGCTTTGCATGGGGCTGGTGTGGAGATGTCCGGGGCGAGGTTCTGCCCTGTGGTCCTGGCGCTGGATCTGAGCAGCATTAATCCCTTGCTGTCAGCGCACAGCATCACCCGTGTCCCCTGGTGCCTGCCTAGGGCTGCGTCTGGGAAAGGCTCCCATTTACCCCCTGCTCCCCAGGGATGCTCTCTGTGGGCCTGGTGGCCGTGTGGCTGCAGGATGCAGGTGTCCTGCAGGTTGCTGGCTCTTCCCACCTTGCATGGCTGAGCTCAGCCCCCATGGCTTCGCCGGCGTTGTTTGAGCAGTGACTCTGCTCTCTTCCTCCCTCCCTCCCTCCCTCCCTGCTCTGCCACGAGGCAGGCGGCTGGGGTGGCTGCCAAAAATAACACACATCCCTTGCAGGGGGGTGGCAGCCACCGAGGAGTCCCTCCTCAGGGGGTGCTGGTTGTGTCCTTGAGACCTGTGGGGGAGTTTGCCGCTGCTGGGGCACTTGCCACAGAGGGATGGGCTTTTTCTGCTATGGGATATGGGGTGATGCAGGGTGAGAGTGTGCAAGCAGCTACGCTGGGTCACCCTACAAGTGTCTCTAGGTAGCACCCTGTCTCCAAGAGGGACCAGTATTAGATGGAAAAAGTAAGAGGGAGAAGATGACCATGTGCCACATTCCTCTCTGCTGATGCAGTTCTGTTATTACCGGGCTGATGCTGCTGCCTCCTGTAACCTCTCAAGGTTTCTCACCTCCTATGAGACATCTTGAGTGGAGGGCAAGTGCCAGGGAAAATGCAAATTTGGGGGCGTTATAAATTGAGAAAAGCCTGAAGCTGCTTTGGGGACTGAGCAGGTTTTGGGCGATGCTAAGCTGGCATCGGCTGCATAATGAGCCATGCTGAAAAGGGAGTGAAAAAACCCAACAACCCTGGGAAAAAAAAACAACAAAAAACCCCAACCCAGCCCCTGCAGCATTGAGAATTAATGAATGGAATTAGCTCCTGACCAATTAACTCAAAAAGGCAAAAAAAAAAAAAAAAAAAAAAAAAAATTCCTGTTCCTAATGCAGAAGGCAGCAGCTTCTCAAAGAAGCGGGTGTGCATCACGGTGATCTCAGCGTGGTGTGCTGAGCTAAACTGACGTGCTAAATAACATCCCTGTACTCAAGGATGAAAGAAGTTAATGGCTGGGAGGGTTGTGTTGTTGTTGTGTGTTTCTTGTTTGTGCTTTTAAATGAAGAGCCTCAC